CAGAATCAGGTATGCGAGACACACAGATAGCCTACGGGTACTAGAGTGCGGTACTGTACCGTACATTGCGCTGACAACCTTTGTGACGTGGCCAATAGGTCTCTGTCCCCTATTCATAGCAATCAAGAAGGAATAACACTCCCCTAAACATCTTACCAGAGCAGTATGCCACAGCACAGGACTGCCAGCGGTTATATCCGGGAATAATCTACCCCTACTGCATGGTTCCTCAGAAACTAAAGGATTTAAAGTTAAAACTAAATTTACAAAAACCAACTACACCTATCCACCACTACCAATTGGGGCCGGATGCAACGCGACCTTACGGAGATGGAAGATCACCTATCAGATAGTTTGTAACGCCAATCGGTAGGCCCAGGCTTTAGGGTTATCAACTATCTCTTCTCTGAACCGGCCAGGCGCGCCATTACACCCGGCCGCTTGGGATCATCGCCTCCATACTGGTCTTTTTCTGATCCCAAGCCATACCGATGCCAAAGTCCAGAGGTGAAGGGCGGCATCAAATAGCGGAGGAGAGATATTCCTGTTGAACCGCCAACGGCCACAGAGAACCATTCGGAAAAAAACACCATCCAATTATAGCCCGAGTTGTGGTGACTCTTGGGGTGATCAGCTCCTGGATGGTCGGCCCCCCACTTGATCCTGAATTTGATATGAATCTACTACTATACCGACGACTCCCCAGAAACTCACTCCAACCGGTGGAAGGATGACCCCACTCATATCTATCGAAAGGCTATCAAGGTTAATGCCAACAAATAAATTCAATCGTTCAGATAGCTCTTAGGTGCTGGATGATCTTTCCCTACACGCCCAGCCCAGCCCTCACGCTTTCAGCCGAACACCAGCTGACTCTCGAGCCCATGGAACTCCCATATGGTCACCGAAATAAGGTCTCCTGTCCATTGGCTTGGCATACCTGTGCTCTGAGCATAGCATCCCCCCGCGCAATGTGCTGCCATAGGTTCACCTCCTTCACCTCTAACTTGCACAATGGCTATACAAAGTATCACAGTAATAATTTAGTCGGTACAACGCAGCTCGCCACGCCTCCTGCGTCCCCGGACGATCTCAGTCCGCAACTCCGAAGCCCAGGGGTTGTCAACGTTGACGGGATGTGAGATTGCCGGGCGCCGAGTTTCAATACCGGTATAGTCGCAGATGCTTGTTGCATCTACGGTTACACTACACTCCCGGAGCAAGTTCCGCTCCTGGTCCCCTAGGATTTGCAATATTTTGATCTACGATATACGGTACTCGAGGTACTATACTTCACAATCCGGGGGGGGGCTCGAAAGTGAAAAAAATCGCACGTCTTAAATCCTCTCAAATATAGTACGGTAGCTCCACGACCCTGGCCTTTTGGACCCACCAGCAAAATGGGGCCCTGGAGCAGTCTTGATAAGCATAGCAATTATTCAAGGGTTTCTTTTTTTTTACTTTTTTTTTTTACTTTTTCCCAAGCTCCCCCGATGATGAGGAACTCCGCAAATCGCAATAAACGATAACCCACAACTATTCTTCCACACTCAATTCTAACCATTGCCGTGCGTCCTCTGCTCCAGCATGCATTGCGATAGTACCGGGTATTATCTCCACGGAAAACCCCCTCCAGATTCCGGTGCCCGGATATTCATCTATTGGTATCGCAGAGATTCGGTACTTGGCCGATGTTTCCCCCCGAGAAATTTCTTGATCGTTTGCACGACACCCTCTAAAAAAAAGACCCCTACCGGTGTTATATAAATCATTGTGTTATTGGGGTAGCACCCATCATGGAGGTGCTCGGGTTGTGTTATCCGCCATGAGCCCGATAGATTTTAGGAGTCATAATCGATTGCGGCAGGTCCCCAAGGCCCCAAATCGAAATCACGCGTTATTGGTTTACTCCTATGAACTCTGTGGTCCCGTGAGCACCTTTCACATGGCTCTTGAAAAGTCACCCGCTAAACTCGGGCCACAGGCTAGATGAAAATCTCCCACAGCCGATCACTATCTTGATCTGATTCGGTACGAACAAGCGGGGTATTCGAGATTTAGAAGATCGTATACCCCGTCGTGCCGGTGACACCTTAATAGGGCCAAACATGCTCTTGAGTATTCTCCCAATACCGGTATGCTTTGTGCGCCACTCTACATCTGCCTTAAACGCCCGATGTCCTTGCTACGGGGGGGGATTCCGGTACGATAATCCATAAGACAGGCGCAAGCTTCTACTTGTAAGGGTTTCTCCCGGCTGCGGGATACATACCGTATTGCCTTAGAGAGAACCCCGTAGACTTTAGAGCCAAGGTGGCAACTACGAGTATTTTTACTTTTTCTTTTCCCCTTTCTCCTAAGCCGCAGACTGTACTAGTACCCTGTTCCTAGCAGCGGAACACACCAGAGCACATTCGAAAGACTCGCACATGTTTTCTCGAGCAATCCACGCTGTAAGGAGCTCTTCTATCACGCCTATCGCACCGGGACGGACGCAACAGAGGGCGAAAAGTGCCCTCTTTGCGCCGCGCAAGAGTTCACCCGGCGTACCCTACAAGTAGATAGATAACTCTTACTACTAATTCGCTACAAGGACAACACAGCACAAATTGCCCCTCCCCCCCGGCCGGTATTTCCCTAAGGCTGGCCCCAGACTCAATCCACAATGGTGGAGCACCGGTACCGTTCGCCAGTACTCGAGTACTCGAGTATATCCTTCGCTGAAGCAACACCATCAACAGATCACCCGGGGCACCCGTCCACCCTTTCATAATATCCGAGATGATGTGTTCTGCGGAGTGGTCTCAGGCTTTCGGGCCGAGGTTCTTTTAAACTTGGTCCAACCTTCCTCATTCCTCCTCTCCTGGGGATATATGATACTTGTAATATGCAGGGGAAAGGACTTGTCAGCCTCCTACCGAAGAAACTTTTCTTCAGCAGTTAAAAAAGTACCGACACCCAACCGACGCAACACAATACTCGTAAAGTTCAAGACAACAAGCCTAACCCCCCAAACCCCTGGACAAGCAAACTGCCAAGTACGAGTATCATACTCGTATCGTACAAGGGGCAGGGACAAAGTCTTGTGGCTTGTCCGCCAAAATGTTTTAAAAACTAGTAAGAGCTTGGAGTGATGTGTGCGATCGTTACAAGTACTTGTATGCTCGAAGAAACTCGAGGAGCGAGGAAAAAAGGAAGGAAAAAAAGAAAACATGGTGAAAAAGCCTAAACTTAAAAACAACCATAAACAATAAACAATACTCGAGTACTGTACTACAGTACAGCACCAAAAAAGAATCACTCGAACAAGGATCCTCCCTGATCCAAGCTCGCCCACCGGAAGGGTTTCCATGTGCCCAAGCACGTTTTATCATAGTTCCAAGCCAACTAGGGTCTGGGCCGAACTACCGTATTACTATAGCTTATCGTGGCTACCGGCACCATCGATGCGGTACTTGTATGATGCTCGTTGTTGGTGGGTTATCGAGATATCAAACAACCATCCATCCAATCCATCCCCACGATATTGATGTCGAGCAGATCTCCTCCTCCCCTCTATCTTCGGGTCCCATGATACTATACTCGTACCCTTCGCAAAAAGTCACCATCATCCCACTCCACACCTATTTACCGGCAGTCTATCCACTTCTAACGTTCACAAACCCAACCCTTCTCCCATTCCCTCCGGAAAGAAAGATACGGTACCCCAGTGGAGGAAGGGATACTGTACTCTACCATACTCGTCAAGAGTTGAGATGGGGAAAAAAATGGAAGAAGAAAAAAATGGCCGCCTCCCCTCCTCCATTCAAGTATTTCGCTTCTTTTTTTCTTCTTCTTTTCACCACCCTAAAAGTATTCATTGTCTTTCTTTCCCCCCTCCCCTTTCCTGCACTATACGGATCATCACACTATAATAACCGGTACTCGCTTACTCACTTACCCACGGGGATGAACCCACCTGTGCCCGAGTACTCTATCCAGAAATCCCTCATTCACTCACTCACTCACTTACCGGTACTCACTCAACTAACCAACCCCTTCATCCGTCGGAGGAGGAGGATGAGGAGGCAGGAAGGAAGGAAGGAAGGAACTTATAATTTACCTTCTTCTTCACATGTTTGTTTCGCTTACAACGAATGAGCTAAATTGCGCCATACAAAGTTGAGGTTCAAAGTTCCCCAGCATTGCACAGTACAGTACTGTATGATACATCCAGTTACATAAACACGGGAGATATACAGGACCGAAGAAACAAAAAAAAATAAAAAATAGAGTTTTATACGCTTTGAATGTCTATCTCCTTTTTTATCATCTCATGTCTACGGTATTTCCTTTTTTTCCTTTGTTATTTTTTTTCCTGATAAAAATTATAAAAAAAATACCTTCATAGCTTGCTTGCTTCTTCTAAGCATTTTTTTCGCCCTATCACTATCTTTTCTAGCTAGCTAGTATCGTAGACTAAGTGAAGTGACTTATAGGTTAGTTCCCTTTTTTTCTTCTTCTTCCTTCCCTCCTCCCCTAGGGATGGTGGGGTGGGGTGAGGGGGGGGGAAGGGGGGAGGCGAAGGAGGCTTACCGTTTGCACCGTTCATACCGGGTCCTGCTCGTACCTATGTACGGGGTACGATACAGTACATTCCCGGTACCGAGAACTTCGAACCTCCCTAAGTAAATTCCGGGTCACATCGTAGGCCTAAGTTAGGGGCTAGGCCTCACAGTGGGCAGGAGTGTGTGCTGTTGCACGGGGCTGTATCACGATTGATGAAGAAAAGAGAGGGGAATATTTCTTTTTCGTCTACAAATATGATAGATATACCGGTAATGCGTAGGCCTTTGACTTTCCTTCCATTGGCTGGGTGTCTAGGCGAGCAGGCTTGTCTTAGATCTTCTGTCTTCTGTGGTGCCGGCTGTACTACCGTATGCCGCACTATCATACCATATGTTTGATACCATGCCACACGGTATTATTATGATAGCCTTTTCATACCAGTGGTTCAATGGTGAGTATCAAAATATGGCATACGTTATTCAATAAAATCAAACGCAATCAAAACATCAGAAGCCCTCCCTTTTTCGCAGAACAAGTCAGGAGAAATGAAAGAAAGGAAAAAAAAAAAAAACCGACAGGATAATCAGATAACCACTCGAACAGCAAGCATCAAAATAGGAAGCAAATAAGTATGGGAGGGGGGAACGGCGGGAGATAAACTGAAATTTAAAAATTCCTAAAAATACAGGATACGTACGGTTAAGCGTATCGACGTCAACATTGGTGTTTGCCCTGAGAGGTGATAAGTGGGGGGAAGGGGTGATGGAGAGTAGGGGGGGATCTAGATAGTGATATATATACATGACCCTCGCGGGAAGAGAAATTGAACCGAACTAAACCGAACTTGGAAATTGGGAATAGCATTCAATAAGCGCAAAAGGGAATAAAAAAATGATAGCAGCCACCATATTTTTTTGTTTGGAAAAAACAAGAAACCCCCGCCAACCCTATCGACGCATAAAAGTATTTGAGAATTGGAGAAAGGAGAAAAAAGAAAAGCACCTGCTGCGCTATTCGGCGAGAAGCAATAAATGGGGTTCGTGCATAAACTGCGAAGGGGGAGCAAATGGATGGATAGACAGATTTTCCAAAAGGAAAACCGGAACTTAGGAACGGGGTTCAAAAAAAGGCAAAGAAGAGCACATAAGCAGACCCGAACATGATTGAGAATACACGACAAGAAACGCGGATATAGTAAGAAAAACACCCCGCCAAAAAACAGACCAGAGAACGGGAAAAAAAAAAACGTAGCCGAACCGGAACCGTAAGGAAATGGCGAAAGGAAATGAAAACAAATTACCAAAACGAAGCGGGCCCGGGCGAATCAATTTGTTACAAGCTTCGATGACTCTTCTCCCGGGCCCATCCATCGTCTCAAGTCCTTTGTCTCCCAGCAGTCCACCAAAATTAGAAAGGGAAAAGACAATAACCAGCCCAGACCATGTCAGACGCTTCGCTTCGCTCGACCCCAAAACCAAAGAGACCCCAAAAACTACTCCCTTCGCCCAAACAAGCATGACTGAATCATATGATATTGGCGATAGAAATCCGGGATGAGGCTGTCGGTGCCGGAGCCGATCGACCAGACCCCCCTACTCCTCCATTCCAAGGTAATGGCGCAAGCTGGTGTTGTTGATGCGGTGGTGGCGGTGGTGGCGGTTGCTGCTGCTGCTGCTGCTGTTGGTGTTGCTGTTGGCGTTGTTGGTGAGCTTGTTCTCTCGCAGCTTTATCATGGGCCAGTTCCTGAAGCATCCTCTCCAATTGGGACCACCCACCCCAATCTACCGCCTCCTCCCTCGAAAGGCTCGCAGGAGGTTCTGCGTGTCCATTCGTGTGGGGATAGTCTTTGCCATTGGCCACAGGGGTCTCGTGACCTGGAGAGCCATGATTCAAAGCCTGTCCAGTCTCACTTCCATTCCATACCCACGAGGATTCCGTGCTTCCCTGAACATCCCCGGAAACCAGCGCCATCATCCCCTCATCATGTGCCAAACTAACTCCTGCATCGAGCTTCTCCATCAATAACCGAAGGAAGCCGTAAAGATTCCTACCGCAGGCGACATTTACATCCCTTATTTCGCCGATCGCATTGCTAACTTGTACGCATACCAGAGCCTCGTTATAAAACCCACGGAAACATAAAAACAATGAGCAACGCCAGATATGAGTGCAGATCATTGTAGACGCACATGTTGCCATCATGTTCTGCCATCCCGTACCATAGCCGTATTGCATGGCACGAGATAGGAAATGAACTGTGTCTTTGGCAGCCGAGACACAAGAATCCAGGGCTGCCGCACGAGCCTCAAAGGGACACAATGTGGACAAGTTATGACGGTGAAGCACTAGCCGGCAGTTCTGAAGATGGAATATAGGGGATAGGTGTCGGGGTTCAAGAGGGTTAGGATGGTTAATATGGCAATTGGCAGGGAATGCCGACAAGCACGACGTGAAGTGGGTATCAAAGCAAGCTAGATTTTGTGGAGATATGACAGGTACTTGAAGGTTTTTCAACAATGGTCCGATAAGACGAACCACATGAATGGTTGTCAGGAGGAAATTCGCAGGCTGTTGTGATGAGCCGTTAGGTACCAGCAAGCCCTCGTCGTAGATGAAATGGTCATCAAGGGCACAAGGCAAAGAAATATCACAATCCTGGTCTTCGATCAGCAGGACTCGCCCAAGCTCGACAGATAAAAGTCTGTAAGAGAAATATCAGCACCCAGTAATCCCAATTTAAACCTACGCAACCCGAGGATGCTAAACTTACCGATCCCACACATATATTCCCCACCAAACCCGACGACGCATCTCTCCTTCGACAACTGGCCACGGCCCACTCTCCCGATGCAACCCTATGTCTTGCGCAATTCTGACGGTCGACCCCAACCAAGTCCAAGCGGCGGATTTACAATTTAACTCTGTGAGGAAAATACTGGTAAGTAGCGCCGATCGTGCATGGTCTATGGTAAATTCGTCGTTAAACAAATCCGTCAATTGCCGGGAATATCCAATAAACGATCTTCCGTGGTCGGGATAACTCGCTTTTATCTGTGGATCCACAGTATAGAGCAAACCACAAGCAAAGACGGCAAACAGCACAGACCCCCAATAGGGCGGAACTCCCGACAAATCACCTTGCTTCCGCACCTCCTCGTAACGTTGCACAAACTGCGGCCAATGAAGAATAGGGATGACTGAATGTATCGTCTGGTAATACTGGGCTAAAATAGCATCTGCGACTGATTGTGGAGGAAGCTCTGGAAGTGGTGGAGAAAAATTGGATTGAAGCCCGACCTGTCTATAGGGTGGTGGAGGTTTGAAAACACCTCGACTGTAATTACGGAGGTGCGCCCGGACATCAGTTAAATCCTGCGTAACCGGTGGTCGAGGTCGCCTTTGTGGATTCGAGTTTAGGTCAGGAACCGTTATAGGTATATCTGGAGCGTTGCTATCTGCGCCTCCACTCTCCAACATGTTCTCCTTTGCTTGCTGTCCATTCATAAGCTTTCGAATCTGTTCCTTCGCTGCGAGTAGTTGTTTCTCGAGATCCTGCACCTGTCTTTACCAGCAGCCGTCAGCACCCCATGCCCCGAGCACCAACACCCAAGGAAATCAGATTTACTTTATCGATGACATGCGACGGTTAGTCTCTTTGGTGAATTGGCATTTGACATTCCTTGAAGCGCATTCCGAACAGCTCGCAACATCTGTGGCATCGCACTGTTCGGCCAAAAAAGTAAAGAGTAAGCTTATTTGTCTAATATAAGGTTCGATTCGGGGGATCGCGAGGAGGAATCCAGGAAATTTCAAGTAAGAAGTAGAAAAATAAGATAGACCTTGACTTTGCGCTCTCTACACGCATCGCAAGAGGGATCCTTCCGCCGCTGTCGATAAGCCCTTTTCTGTGTTCCGGTCATTACTTGACCCGGATGCATTGGCGTTCCAGCAGATGGTGAAGGCATTTGTCCGTCGCGAGAAGGGCCAGGAGAAACAGAGTTCGAATTATATGGCTGAAAAGAAGGGTGGTTTGAATTGTTGATACCCATGTGTTGACTCTGAGCGCTGGCGGTGCCCGGAAGTGGAGCCGATGTGGGAGTGTTCATACCCGGGTCATAGGAATGCATTCCATTTGGCGGAGGAAGTGTACCTTGAAAAGGCGGGTGTTGAATTGAACTTGCTCTGTCTTCCATAATGCTATATTCGCAGTTTCCTCCAAAAGGCTAAGGCAATGCTTGCAGCCGTTAGACGATGTGGTTGTTCAGGGACGCTGTCACAGGAAATGAAGATGCAGTCGAGAAGAGAGACAGAGGGGAAACGTTGAAATTGGATATCTTTTTTTCAACAACAGGGGCGAAATTGCATGCATTCAGCTGACTCCCAGACCTTGTCAAGAAGCCGGATTTCAAGTGTCTCAGTCCTCGTCAATCTTAGGCAGCGTAGTGATAGCTGTAGAGCAACAGAGGCGTCACGACAGCTCTGGATTACCAGTTCAGGGGGGACTGTGAAATGCGCAATTCGGTGAGGTAGTTCACACAATGAAAGACGGAAGAAGATGGGTAGAATGAGATTTTAGTAAGAAAAGATGAAGGGGGAGGGCGGATCTCTTTTTTCTTTTTCTTTTTTCTTCTTTCCTCTTCTTGGGAAGGCCTTCTTTTAGAAGGGGCTGCACGAGATGACTTCTTTTTTCCCGCCAGTGGTCTCCCTTTCTATCCTTTTTCCTTCCGGGGGGTTTTTTATTTTTATTTCCTTTTTTCCCCGATTTTCTCCCCTTTTCTTTTCTTTTCTTTTCTTTTTCACCTTTTGCGCAGTTCCTCTGCAGCGGGTGCGCTTGGGTGGTGTTCTTGAAACGAGTAGGCCGAGAGGCGTTGGAAGATGTGGATGAGGAACGAAGGAGGGAGGAACAAGAGCAACACTGCAACAGCGAACGGGGAGAGAGAAAAGAATGATCAAGCAAACCAAATGACACGGAACCAACCACTTACGGCGGCGGCGGCGGCGATGACAACGACACAACCGGAGGCAGTGACAGGCAGAGAAGGGCGGAGGCAGGACAAAAAAGAAAGGCACCGACCTAGCAGCTGGTGCGGTAGGCAGCTAACCTGCCCGTTGGTAACGGAGGGCTGGGTTTTGGAAAACGAAGCAAGAAAAGGGCCCGGATTCACAAGATGATCCCCGACCTCCCGTGTTCCCTCACCCGAGAGTGAGGAAAAGAGCAGCAGTGCAGTCAGTGGTTGAGAAGAGCGAAGAAAAAAAGAAGGTTCTTCTCTTGAGAAAGGAAAAATGTATCATAGAATAGAGGGTGCAGTTTGGTAGATGCAATAGTACAGTAGACCAGCGACTTGCTTCCTTCCTCACCTCTCTCTTATTGAAAACTTCGCTATCTCTCTCTCTCGCTCTCTCTATCTTTTCCCGTTCACTCACGCTCACTCACTTTCTCAACTCTCCGGTACTTTCTCATCCACTCAGTCACTTCACTATCCCAACCGCAAATCGCAAACTCCCGACCCTTGTGGCTAGAATCTCATACGGCACCTTACCTACTCGTACCTACCGTGACCAAGGTCCCCACGGCACTCCAGACGCCTTCCTGCTCTTCAACTTGCAAACTCGCTCCGATCGCCCAGACCAGAATCTTACTCCCTGCCTCTCGCTCCCGGCTTCCGGTTCTTCTCCCTCAACTTACAGGATTCCCCACTAGCTCGCACACCCTACCGTTAGCTGCCATGCCCTTATGAGGCAAAGGAAGAGGAAAGATACTCTAGAGGGAAAAAAAAAAAGGGAAAAGAAAAGAAAAAAAAAAGCTGTCCCAGTACGAGTAAGCAGCCAGCCATTCGCCCAAACATCAAACACCGCCACTCCACCCTCTGCAGTGCTCAAGATAAAAAACAAAACGAGCTAAGCTATGACATGATGCGCTCCCGGTATTAACTGCGAGACTAACACAAAGGTTCGTAAAGGGTGTGTGAAGGAAGGGGGGAGGACAATCCATGAATCTTTATTAGGCCCTGCTGAGCTGGGAAGAATGGGACGAATGTGAGCGATGGAGGGGGGGAGCCGTCGTGCTGTAAGACACAACGGGGCGGACGCAAGGCAAGAAAGAAAGACAACTAGACCATGGTGGCTCCCCAGTTACCGACTACCGAGGGCAAAGAACATGGCCCTAAAAAGCACGCCAGCTCCTTCCCTGCTCGTGCCAGGTATGCGCATAATATACGATTATATTAGTGTTATTAATGGGTTCCTAAGCCCACCCTCCACGATTGCCTGTCCGTCCGTTTGATCAGTTTCTGGTCGGTACTGGCCGCCCACCTACCGAAGGCGTGTGCATAATAAATTTAATAGCGGTAGAGTACTCGAGTACCCTACTCCACGGTGATCAATATTGCATAGTATCACCCGTCCGCAACTGCGCTGTAAAACAGGATGGTGGTCGAGTGCCGGTGTGATAAAAACTCGTGAGAGGAGAGGGACAAATGTGTACGAGGAATATGTTGATGCCGAGAACACATGATAAGGAGAGATGGAGAGGAAAAGTGGAAAGGGGATGCTGATCACGTAAGCCACGAACCGAAGGATGAGCGACTCCAGCTACGGTAACGGGTACAGTACGAGTACTTGAGTACGATTCGAGTGTGACAGGGTGACTTGGGGGATTCAAAGCACTCGGCCGTGCCATCATCTCGTCCGTTAGACTACCGGTACCGGTACTGTAGTGGCTTGGACACACCATGGCACCCGAGAAAAGCTATTCCAGCTGAGGAAGGGGATTTCTTTCCACACTGCCGGCATGGGGAAGTGGCACGCGGCAGGCACGGGCAAGAAGACTTTTAGAACCTTTCCCGCGAATGAGTGGCTGACTGACTGAAAATTTGACGAAAAAAAAAAAAAGAAAGAGAAGAATCCTTGTATGATACTAGTACGAGTACTCGAGTACCGTATCATACTTGTAACGATGGGTGTGGACAGCCACAACAAACAAATCGCTGGATGGGTCTTGAGTAACTTAGAGTGCGGATGTGCTTCCGTATGCTGTGGACTACCAAGCATCTCTCCCTCTGCCTCCTTCCCTCCTCCCTCCTTTCCCCCCGGCAAAAATTTTTGCACCCCGGCTATGGTGCCGGGCACTTGAGATCAACCCTCATGTGCAATTCTTCTGCTTACATAATACACTCAAGAACGGTGCTTGGCAAAAGTGACTTCTAAAACGACAATACTCGTACAGTACATGGATAGTTCGAAATTTTACCGTCTCCAGTAATATTGCTCTCTTTGAGGATCAGAAAGCATAGGATTGGGGAGGAGTATCTTCTGAGCACTTCTATGAAGCCATATCTTCCTAAAGATGTGGTTGTGCTTGAAATTTTTCGAAAAGTTATTCTTGTGTGGGTTTTTGGTTGATTTCAAGTGCCCGGCACATACTAGTTAGTACATTCAAAAAGAAGGAAAAAGTGTGAAGAAAAAAACCCTCCCCAAATAATACGGTACTACAGCAGAAGGGAGAAAAGAAGGGAAAGAAGATGATTGTGACGGTGTAACTTCGAAATGCTTGATACCGTGGTTCCTCGGATGGTCCTTCATCACAAGCCCCCTTCCACAGCCTACGATAATATTATGGAGAAATGGCAAGCAGACGAGAACTTTGCCAGAGAGAGAGATATATACCGGCACCGGCACATTGCGGTCGTACAGCCCACACAGTGACACATGCTCTTCCTGTTCGTTCCGGTAACCGGCATGATACCGTATGGCTGGCTCTTTCCGACTCGTTTCCATTTCCTCCATTCACTTCCTTATTTGCTTGTTATTGTCGATACACTTTGCCATCTTAATACCCTACGGCATCGCCTTCAAGCATCCTAACGAATGAGGATCCGAGCCCCGCCCCTTTGTCCCCCACAAGGCCAGGTTAGGTGAAATCCAAATTAGATTAATCGCCTCCCAAGTTCTGTGGTAAACCCGGAGACACTGCGGTACTCAAATTAGTGTCTGAGTGCAAGGGAAATGATACGGGGGACCGTAACCTAGGTAATACTTGCAGTCTAAATTATCTGTCGACTGATCGCCCTGATTATCCGGGGAGGATGTCGGTGTCCGGCACTTCGCCCGAATGAAACTCGATGCTTATGTTCTTGGCCTTGCTTGTTCGCTGGGTTAGTTGCTCGTGGTTAGTTAGATTTAGAAGGTGTGTGCGTATGGGCTCGTGCGCTCTAGCAATCTGACAATTTGATGTCTGGTTCCTGTCGGAGGATGTGCTCCTTGGCACCACATAGCCAAGAAATAACTACCAATCTACTCGAGTATAAGAACAAGGTTTTCCCTGTGACGGGTGCCCATCTTACTTAACCGACTTATTGGATCATGCAACGGATCGCTCAAGCTCTCGAACATGGGGGGGTGGATAATCCTTAACTTTGCCTAAGCATGAACATGGGATTCAAGGTCGAGGAATTGTGTGCTTAATCTGCCAAAAGCATTTTTTGCATGGAATAACCGAAAGCTAAACCATCGAACATGTACAAATATTCGGTATGTTCTGGACGACCTTGTGGGCGGAGGAGGGGGGTGTGGAATGGGGATTATTAACAAGGCAAATAAAATATGCCGGAATCTGACTCGCTGGTATCTTTTTTGAGGTTAGGATACCGAGAGCAGGGCGCAACCGCCCTAGAAACGGCATTTTCGGTAAATTCCGCCAGTGGGTGCGCTCCCGCATGCCCGTTCTGCCGTGCTCCGAAGGTAAGAAAAAAAGCGCCAGTTACCCAGTGATCGCATGCCATCACTACAAAATCCGATGATGGTATTCTCTTTTGTGCATGTTGACCTGCGAGGGGACATACAGCACACACTCCGGTCGACGTCCTGGTTCGATTAATGCATCATATCCCGCCTGGCTCCCTCCCATGCATAGGTGGCAATGGTAAAAAAGAAATCGTGGATTCGGTCTTCGGACACTTGGTTATTTGCAACCGTAAAGCCATCACTTCCGCGCCTCCCTCTAGGTGACCTGGATAGACGCCAGCAAGATAAAGGGTAAGTCTCGTGAGCTCATCAGCAAAATCTGTGCGAATATAAGGTGTAAACTCTCTGCTTCTGGTGCAACATCCCACGCGGTTCGTTTGCATCCCTTCAATTAACGTACCGGTATATCCTCCTTGGCCTTTGAATCGGTGAAGTTAGAATTGGAACATGGAATGATCCGAGTGTTTGAGTGTGTGGTTGCACTGACCAGACCCATGTTGGTTGTCAAGGCTCCAGTTTTTTCTGGGGTTGGGTCAAATATCCGTGGCAGAGCAAGCTGAAGGGGAATGATTCCCATTGGCTATTTTTCCCACCGGAGAAGGGGTGTCCTGGTATGGTGCTCAAGTATGTGCTCGAGTAATCAGCACACATTAAAACTCATTCCGGGAAACTTTCCTTATCGTTTTTTTTTTTTTTTTTGTTGAGTTCCACTTGTCGGCTTTGAACGTTGCTGTATGTTTTTTATTTGCTTTTTCTTTCCTTCTCTCCCCTTTCTCCTGCCTCAATGACTTGTTGTGTTTGAGTGGAGTGGAGCAGAGTTAGCACGCCAAGCCGGCAGTCGATGGAGGGATGAAGGGAGCCCTACTGCACAAGGCATATACGAGTATAATACGGATTCCAACAGATTGTTACTCGAGTACAATGCTGTACAGTACCGGTACAGTACTGAGGTAGGTACGAGTCCCGCCAGACAGTGCCCCAGCTGCTGTGCTCGTGCTTGTGCAGCCTTTTCACGGATTCCCCTTCTCGTCTTCTTCACAAGCTTGGGGGCGGGGCCATCCACCAATCCATCCATTTCCCCAACATACCATAATCTTGCATGAGATAATTAGCCCGATATCCTGCAAATCCTTTCCGATCCCTTCTCACCTCCCTCCCCTTCCACTCGTTCGTCTTTCGGTCTAGCCTAGCTTGCACCATGGCTTCCATGTTCGCTTTGCGTGAGACCCGATATACTCCTACTTCAGAACCCATCAGTTTTGGTCGAGGCATATGCGCCCCATCAATGGCAACAGCGGGCCAGCACACCCTGTGAATAATTGGCGGGACAAAGTACAAGTACCGTATTAGGGGGGTGTTTTCGTACTTGCTTGTACGAGACAGGGATAGTTAACCAGCAGAATAAATAGACCCTGTCTTGTGCGAAAACTTCTCCCCTGGTACTTGCACCAGGAGGGCGAGCGCACCTCGGCCGCCGTCGGGCGTTTTTCCAGATTGCGACTGAGTTTTTTTTGTTTCAGGTGGACGTTGTTATTTTATCTTGTGCAACGCAACCCGGGACAAAAAGAGTGCAGGTTGCAGCCGAAACAACCGGTTCCATAATGAAAGATCACTTGGTCTCACGAAGAGTGACAATCAGCTTCCTTTTCCTTCTTTACCATGATTACGGTTATCCTGTCACACCCATTGCCGTGATTCCCACTCGGTCACGGGGTGACAATAAGAACAACTTGGGAAAGGTTCCGACGGAGACGCCACACTATAGGCTTTATTTATTTTTCTTGTGTCATGAGAATACCTTAGGAAAAGTACCGGTATCTTAGAGCGCTCGTACCTGTATACCGGTAGTGCCTTACCCCGGGTATGTTTCGATCCAACTGCTGGTGGCTTTTTTTGGTCCTCTATGGGCCTTTTCCCTTCTTTCGGGGTAGGCACCATGTCGTGCTTCGTGTGCCTTCTGAATGGGAGAAATCTAACTACCATTTTAGCTAGGCCAAAGTATCGTACGAGTATCCAATATCAGCACCTGGACACGCTACCCAAGCTGCATTGTTGGCAAGGAGACACCGTGTTTGTGGGGTAACACACCCCTCAGCAAAGCTACAATATACATCGGATATACCTTTTGAGTGGGGGAGAGCTACGGGTTTCAAATCTAGTGAGGACAAATACCTGCGGCCGGTGTGGGTATTTGAAGTCTTTCCGGCGCTTGAGCACCGAAACGGCAGGGTGTCCTGTGTGCAGTACTATATCATAGTTCAAGTATCATGCACGGGGCGGCGGTGGGGTTGAAGAATGTTAACTAACCAAGTTTTGGCAGTGACCAGTGGTCACCCTCAAAATCTCCTAGCCACTGGTCACTCCCCTTATGCCATGACGAGTGGTCAGGACTAATCAAAGCAGGGGTCAGCGGAGTTTAGGTTAGAGATAGTTTTGGGTTTGAGTAGGATGATAGAGGGGTAAGATGAAGAACTTGAATATTATATTACTAAGAAGAAAGATTTAAGAGTAACAGATAGTAAGAGGAAAGAAGAATAACTATAGAAAAGAGTTGAGAGAAGGGTTGAGAAGGAAGGGATATAAATATACAACTACTGATGGCTTTCTAAGGACGCCGCCCCCACCCCTCCCGACTCAGCAAGCACTTAGTACGTGGCTCGACATCAACCTTGGCAGGATAAGGTTAGTCCTGGCCAGACATATACCAATGAAGAAGCCCTCTACAAGATCAAAGCCTTGGTGGTCTGACACCTTGTCTGACTTGAGGAAAGTCCACCATTCTTGTGCCCGAGAGGACTGTACATCCCCCTCGAATGACACTCGGGCCTCTGCTCGCTTGGCCAAGAATGCCTATTTCAAGGCTATCAAGAAGGCTAAGAAGGAGCACTGGTCACGTTTCCTTGAAAGTGCTACCTCCTAAAATGTGTAGATGGCTAAGAGGTTTACCTTCGGTAAATCCCCAGAACGTTTCCCACCCCTTCCACAGGCAACCTCACCCATGGAGCTGAACGATACCCTGCTTTCTCACTTTTTCCCTCCTAAGCCCCACGCGTTCTGCCTGCCTATTCATAGGGCCTTCAAAGATGCACCCACCTTGTTAGAGGAAGAGATAGCAGCGGCTCTCAGCAAATCCTTGTTCTCTTCGGTCCCTGGTCCTGACCTTTTTCCATACTCTGTCTGGAAGAAGGTTAATATATCCCGTCCTTCTCTTCTGGTTGAACTCCTGTCTCCACTGGTCTCGTTCTGTTTCCACCTGTCATCACTCAAGATGGCGAATGGAGTGGTGCTAGACAAGCCAGGCAAGCCCTCTTACGACACCCCTGCTTCCTTTCGGATAATTGTCCTTCTTGAAACGGTCTCCAAGATACTGGAGAGGATAATCGCAAACCGCCTCTCACCCCTAACTAGATCCCTTGGCCTGCTCCACACCCATGAATGCGGCTCCCTTCTGGGACTTAGCATCTTCGATGCCTGCGCGACTCTGGCTCATGAAGTTCAAAAGCTGCAATGTCCCCAGTTGGTTGCATCCACCTTGTTCCTTGATATCAAGGGAGGATTTGACAATGTCTCACTGAACGACCTCTTCTATATGCTGCGATCGAAGGGCATACCTCCATACCTCTGCTCCTGGGTTAGGTCCTTCTTGACAGGAAGGCAGTGCCGTCTTGTCTTCCAGGGATCGCCCAGGGTTTTCAAACCAGTTCAGGTTGGCACCCCACAGGGCTCACCAATATCACCACTCCTGTTCGTCATCTATGTCTCGTCCCTCCACTTTCCGGTACCGTGTGGGTTGATCCTGTCCTATGTGGACGACTTTGTGGTGACTGTTGCCTCTAACTCCTACAAAAGAAATGTCCAGCGCCTCCAACATCTAGTTAAGATGTTAACTCAGAGGGGAAGGCACCTTAGGGTCTCCTTCTATGTACCCAAAACTGAGCTCATGTACTGGAGGACGCCCAGACAAAGGGACCTCGCATCCAATCTCCCCATCGTTATTGATGGACTCCTTTTTTGCCCCTCAGTGGTGCTCCGTTGGCTCGGCC